TGGTGTCTGTAGGTGAGTTTCGACCACTCCCTGTATAATGAGTCAGTAGGTGCCGTGAAGAGGGTGTGCAGGGTGTTCTCCTTGTCAGTAGGTGGTGCTTGCTTGGAGGAACAGGATACCCTGTTGTTTTTGTGACCTGTGCTCAGCTCTTGTTCCTCTGGAGAGGCACTCTACTGCCTCAAGTGGTTGGTGGGGCCCTGGGACTTCCAGGTGTGTCCTTTTCTCCCTCTCAGTGAGGGCTGGTCTGGGAGTTAGTCTGGGCAGAGCTGGGTTGGGTAAGCCTGCCCTCAGGCACCACCAATGCCGTTAGCAGGGGTCAAAGTTGTTTTCTGCTTCCAGGAAAAGCTGCCAAGGAGGGGCTGGAATGGCCCCACTCAGTCAGAAAGTCTGCATGTGGGGTGGGGCTGTCTGAGACCCACAGTCTAGAGTGGGTCTCTCTTCTTTCCACCATCCCCAACTCCACGGCTACTCCTGGGCCTCTGCCATCAGGCCAGATCACACGCCACCGGGCCTCCCCTGGCTGTGATGCAGGCCGGGAGGTTCCCTGCGCAGGAACGCCACCTGGGCTGGGTGCATAGCCTCCCTTTAGGAGGAGGGTTGCCCTCTAGGATGCTGATCGGCAGAAGGCACACACACCTCAGTAGGCTGTTTACGTATATCCCTTCTGTGCCCTGGGTAATGAGAGACCTGGGTGCACGGGATCTGGTCTGCTGGTCTGACCTTTGGGTCCCAGGGTTCAAACTATATCCCCACCAGGGAGAGGAGTGCTAGTCCCACTTCTCCCTCCAGGAGCCCAAGCTGGGTCTATGTCTCTCAACCTCAGGTTCTGCCCCGTTCTCCTGGGATCACTGGGCTAGCTGCTCCTGAGACGGCTGGCAGTTGGGGAACTCACCGTCTGAGTTCCCTTCAGTCAGCTGTAGGGCCCCAAAGGGAAGGTCCTGTTCCCTGGAGGTGCCTCCGGCTGGTGGCTGTACTGTCTTTCTTGGCATCTGTGGATAGGGTCGGGGGAGGGGAGAAGGAGGCAATATGGTGCCTGCCGTGTGGCTCGGGTCTGTGCACAGGGAAGTGCTTTGCGGGCGTTGGGAGCCTGGTGCCACATCTGCTACTGGCTTACTGCTCACTGGAGGTGGCCATCTCTGGGCTGGTGTCCGCAGGTCTCTCCACCCGCTGGGGCGCCCACCGGCACTCTGAGATGCAGGGGAGGGGAAAGTTAATCACTTCACCTACCCTTGCCATTGGTCTCCAGGCTGCTCTGAAGGTCTCTGCTTCCAGTTCTCCTCCGCAACCTCCTCCCGTGGAGTCTCCCGTGGTTTCAGGTACCCCTCCTTCTGAACCCCATCCGATGTATGCTTGTCTTCTTGCTTCTTTCTTCTAATTTCTGCTAGAATCTGTCTTTCCTGCAGAGACACTCTGTCTGGCGGTGTTTCTTGGCCGCCATCTTGATTCTGATCCCTCTAAAATATATTTTCTTTGTGGTTACCATGGGATTACAATTAACATCCTAAATTTATAACTGTCTAGTTTCAGCTAATACCAGCTCAACCTTACTAAGGTACAAAAACTCTGCTTTTATATAGCTCCACCCCCCACCTTAAGTTGTTGGTGTTACAAATTACATCTTTATACGTTGTGAGCCTATTTACATGGATTTTAATTATTTATGCATTTGTCTTTTATATCATTTAGAAAATAAAAGTGGAATTATAGATCAAAAATATAATAATAACTTTTATATTTACCAATGTAGTTACATTTACCAATATCTTTATTTGTGTGGCTTTGAGTTGCTGTTCAGTGTCCTTCCATTTAGCCTAAAGGATTCTTTTTTATAGCATTTTCTATAGGACAGATCTACTAGTAAGAAACTCCCTCAGTTTTTGATTATCTGGAAATATCTTAACTTCTCCTTAATTTTTGAAGGTTAGTTTTGCTGGATATTAAATTTTTCATTGATTTTTTTCCCTTTAGTGGTTTATATGTGTCATCTCACTGCCTTCTGACCTCCATAATTTCTTATGTGAAATTGGCAATTAATCTTATTGAGGATCCAATGTATATGACAAGTTTCTTCTTGCTTGCTCCTGCAAGATTCTGTTTTTAATTTTGCTTTTCAAGTGTTTGATTACAATGTGTCTAAATGTAGATCTCATTGAATTTATTCTATTTGGAGTTTGTTGAGCTTCTTGGATGTATTGATTAATATCTTTCATTAAATTTGGAAAGTTTTCATTCATTATTTCTCCAACTATTCTTTCTCCTTTTTTTATTTGGTCTGTTCTCCTTCTGAGATTTCCATGATACATATATTAGTTATCCTACTTGAAAATGTCTCACAGTTTCCTTAGGCTCTGTTCACTTTTCTTCGTTTTATTCCTTCTGTTCTTTATACCAGATGATTGTCCTATTATCAATTTTGCTGATTCATTCTTCTGCCTGTTCAAATCTGCTGTTTAACTACTCTGGTGAATTTTTCATTTCAGCCATTTTACTTTTCAGCTCCAGAATTTGTTTGGTTTATTTATAATTTATATCTGTTTAATGATTTTCTCATTTTGTTCATGCATTGTTTAACTGGCTTCATTTAGTTCTTTGTCCATGGCTTTCTTTATTTCTTTTCAGACAGTTGATTTAAAAATTTTTGCCCAGTAAGCCCATGCTTGGGTTTCCTTATAGAGGATGTAGAGGATGTTTATATATTTTTTTTCATGAGTGGGCCTCACTTTCCTGCTTCTTTGTATATCTTGTGATTTTTTTGTTGTTGAAAATTGGACATTTTGAATATTATGATGTCCAAGAGTTTGCTATTCTTTCTTCTTGTTGTGTGTAATCATCTATTTGTTTAGTGCAAGCGTCCTCAAACTATGGCCCATGGGCCACATGCCACCCGCTGAGGACATTTATCCAGCATGCTGGGTGTTTTTGCTGCAGCTGCCTGTCCTGCTCAGCAGCCGACTCATCCCAGGCCCACAGTGTGCACTCTCCAATGGTCTGAGGGACAGTGAACTGGCCCCCTGTTTAAAAAGTTTGAGGACCCCTGGTTTAGTGACTTCCTGAAATCAATTTTGCAAAGACTGGATTCTTTGTCATTTGTGGTCATTTAAGTCTTTGTTCCACAGTGACCTGGCAGAGATTACTGGTGGTTAAGGAACCACTTCGGTACCACCATTGACTATAGTTGATAGCCACAGATGAACGTGCATGTTGACTCTAGCCTACAGCCATGATATGACTTTTCTGATTTTTCATTTATCAAAATAAAATTGTGAACATTTAAAAATAACATAATGAAAATATATATGTATATGTTACCTATTCTGATTTACATTACAAGTAAAGCTGCCATTAAAGTAAAACAAGCTTTCAGTGCTTTAAAGCTTTCCTCATCACACAAGAGCATAACGGACTCGTCGTCAATGGACAGCACAAACTATCGTGAGGACTGTGAACGCAGGCTGTGGGCAAGGTTTCGTGGCCGGTGAGTGCCGTACTGAAGTGATTAAATACCTGGAGTGAAAGAAAGAAAGAAAGAAAGAAAGAAAGAAAGAAAGAAAGAAAGAAAGAAAGAAAGAAAGAAAGAAAGAAAGAAAGAAAGAAAACAGGAAAAAAATTACTGTCTTTTGACCTTTGCAGCTTGGCTCTGAGTTGGGCACTCCTTTAGTGCTATGCAAGGCGGTCTACAACTATGCCTTAGCTTTTACCTCCTGCTTGTATGGAGCCCACAGATCTGTCAGAGGTCTTCTCAGATCTTTTCAGCATATGTGTCTTGTCCCGGGCATGCACCTTCTCTTCCATTTTCCCCAGTAGGCACAGAACCCCATATGAGTTCTTATTCCTCTAATAATCTTCCTTTTTGGCCTCCTCTTTTTTGGATTTTGGGTTCTGTCTACCACTTGCCCTGCCCACAGTTCCTTGCCCCAATTGGGAACTGTGTGTCTTTAAATCTTTTGGTAGCTATCACTGCCTGGAAGCTGCTGTACCTTGGAACAGGAAGGTGAGGAAAAGGCCAGCTCAGTCTTTCAAGGAACCACCAGACAGATGGGTACACACTGCCACGGTATTTTGAGGACAAGGTCCATATTACCCCCTGGCACCAGCAACCACACTAGAAATGCAGCCTGCTGTCCCCTGGTTGCTATAAACTTTGGATTAAAGTACAGAGTTCTGAAAAAGTTGATTCTGTTAGCTTACGGTTGTTTCAGTGGAGTTATTTAAGCAACCTACACCATTTTCTGTGACGTCATCTCCTGTTGTCTCTTGATGAAAATACGCTTCCTTTCTTGCTAGACGTTAATTCAAGCTAATATGGTCACTAGATCTTGTGTGACACAATCAAGACACTCAGCAATCTTTTGAGGATGTGTTTTGTGCAAAAAAATGCTCAGGAAATCCTCAGCACCATCTTATCTGCAGTATGTGCCATGGTGAATGCTAAGTACACAGGTGCTACTGATGTTCCCCAAGCTGATTTTCACCCATGCGCTGTTTGAGCATTTCCATATAGCATGAATTTATCAAATATTTTTAAAGGATAAACAATTTTTTTAAAAAGAGCAAATAATGATATAACTCTTTTATTAACAATGCACTTTTCAGCAGCTTTAATCACTCTTGGTAGGTTTATTCCTCCACCTGCATTTGACCGTACATTGCAAGGCCTTACTAACACAGCCTCCAAGCCTACATGAGCCACATTAAAAAGTGGTCTGTTCTGTGTGAAGTAAGGGTGGACCTCACAACCCCTTGTACTTGCTTCTTGCTCTCTCTCTCTCTCTCTTTTTTTTGGGAAGGAAATCACTTTATTTAATTACCTAGCAAGAACATCACAACAGCTGGTTTAAGGAGGCCACACCAACCAACAGTTGCCCAGCTCCCAATTCTCTACCATCTCAATGAACTTCTACACAGTAAGAACACCCTCTTCCACTGCAATTCTGAAGCAAGGAAGCTATTAAATGACAGAGGAGAGGTTTAACTGATGATTTTATACTTTATGCTTTCACTATTAATTACTAAATTAACTTGCTCTTGAGAGCCGATTTTTCATTTCTTCAGTTTGAACTTCTTGATTAAGATAATCCGTTCGCAAGTCTGCACTGTTTCAGCACTTCAATGAAACCCTCACAGAGCTTTAGGTCGCTCTGGTTCTGGGCACATTCCAAAAACTGTTTTATCTCATAGTAGCAAGGGCCAGCCTGCTGCTGCTGTGCCAGCTGGCTTCCCTGAGGCTCCTGGTAAGTGATGTCAGGGTTTGATGGCTCGGCGTTACGTCCTCCACTGAAACCCCCAGTCACGGCATGACCCAGTGTGTGCCCAACTGCAGAGCCCACAGCCACACCTGCTGCAGTGGTTGCCATCTGGGCCATCAGACCTGGCTGCCGGGGTGCAGCAGCAGGTGAGCCAGCTGCAGATGGTGGGGCTGCTGCTGGTGGCTGAGCTGCTGGTGCTGGCCTGGGTGCAGTTCTCATCTGAGGGGCCCGGCTGGCCGGAGGGGCCATGCGGGAGGTGCGGCTTCGGCTTCCACACGGCATTGCAAGCACACTGTGGCTCGGCCCCTAGAACTGCGAAGCTCTTGCTCTCTTTCTTGGTGCTTTTGTGGAACCATATGTTCCCTGGCCCAAGGAATGTTCTGCACTTTGGTCCAGGTATTTATTTACAATGTGTAATAGAACTTGACTGCAATATTACCCTCTACCAGAAGATGTCACTCTAACGTCTTGCACACAGGTAAAAATAGTATTATGCTGATAATAAGGTAGCTTGGAAGAATGGTGATCCCTTCATTTTCCCAATGAGAGAGATGAAAAGACAGATAGGGGTAGTTTGGGCCAACTTGCATATATGAATAGAAACTGTTAGGGTGATAAAGAAACACTCAATATATACTTACATTAACTAATTTATTTGATTATATATACATACTTCAAATTATATATTCTATAAAATCACATGAATTTATAAATATCACTTTAATTTCCACTTATATTTTAGAGGACAAATTTTTGAAGGTACTTCATATGTATATTCTTCATAAGTTTCTTTATTATCACTAGGGACACTTAAAACTTTTTATTTGAAAATACTTTTGAATTTATAGAAAAGTTGCAAGAATAAGAATAGAACATTGAATAACCATGTACCCTTTACCAAGATTCACCTATTGTTAACATTGTATTAAATTTGTTTTATCATTTGTTTTCCCTTTTTTTCTATCTATACAATGCATTTTTCTTAGCCATTTAGTTATCTCTAAATACTTTGATAAGTATTTCCTAAGAAAAAGGCATTCTTACACACTCTTTGGTAAAAATATCAACTTTAATAAATTTAACTTTTTCCTAATCTGTTGACCATGTTCTAATTTTGTCGATTGGCCCAATAATGTCCTTTCCAGCATTTTCCCTGCTCTAGTAGAGGATCCACTCTAGGATCAGGTACAGTATGGATCTCTAACTTCCTTTAATATGGAACATTTCTGTCGCCTTTCCTTGTCTTTTACAACTTTGACATTTTTGAAGAATATAGTCACTTTCCCCCCCACAGCCCCCATTTTTAAAATACAATGTTCCTTGTTTTGGGTTTGCCTTATGTTCCCTGATTGCTAGAGATGGGTCGTGCACCTTAGGCCAGAATGCTAGAGAGGTGATGCTGTGTCCTGCCCAGGGCAGCTCACCTTGAGGCATGTGGCATCCATCTTTTCCTCAGTGGTGATACTAATTCTCTATCCCCTGGTCAAGGAGTCATGCAATTTCTCCATGGGAGTGCCGCCTATGTTCCAGAAACGGTGCTAAGCATTCAACTTACACTTTTCACAGTTAATCCCACAGCAATTTTGCAAGCTAGGCTTCATTCTTTTCACTATACAAGTAAGGCAACTAATGAAATTGAGATTTTCATGGTCACACGTTGGTGAGGCTGGCGTTTGGCTCTGGTGTGCTTGACTCAGATGCCCAGGCACTTTGCAATTCTCCGTTACATTTCCCAGGTTGAGATGTTCTGATTAGGTTTCAATAAATCAGTGCCATGCCATGCTGTCTGCTTTATTTATGAAATGCTGCCAGAGTTAGTGCATGAATAGTGAGCCTGCTGATGTGGTGTTCAGAGTTATCTACCTATGACTTTGAGCTTCTTGATATTGAAATGTTGGAAGAGGTTGAGAAAATTCCCACCGTTCACTGCTATTTCAGGATGGACAAACTTATAAGAAACTACAGTAACTGTAGGGTTAAAATTTTAATTGAAGAAATCAGAAATATACATTTTTCAATTCTCCAGAAGCATTTTGCCTGGTTTCCAAGTCTCACTGCAATTACTAGTTAATAAAAAACATGCTTTAATATGCTGGCAGAAAATTGATACTCTTCTCAATCTGTGCCATGAAACAAATAAAAATGTGAGGAGAAATTGAGTTTTCATTTCAGAAATAGAAAATGGATTTTTCAAAGTTCAGATCGTCACCTAAGAGTAATTTTCTTATAATAAGTTTAAGGCTGACTTGCTCAATGCAAAACTTTGCCAGGGAAAATTGATACTTTTGAAATAAAATAAAATTGCAACCTATTTCAAGAGTTGTCTATTCCAAAAGCCACTGGGTAGTTCCGCCCAGCAATCTGTGCCTGCCCAGGCCGGGGCGAGCGCTCAAGACTGCTGGTGCACTAGCACATGGCACTTTTTTCCGAGCAGGATGGAAGGGCTGTGGTCAGCCCTGGCTGGTGAAAAAGCTGCTATTCACCTGGGTGCAGTGCCCTGCTTCATGCGTGGCTGAGGAGTGTGGATCCTGCCTTCTCCTCATGAACTTCATGCTCTTGAAAATGGAATGTGCTAAGCATTCTTTGTGTTCTCTGATGCCTGGCTCTCTACTTCTGGGCATATGGGGCAATTGTACTTCTCAGCCTCCCTGGAGCTGGGCATGGCCATGTGACTTGTTTGGGCAGTATCAGGAATAAGATCATATATTAATATAAATCATAATTGGTATCAGGAGTGGAACATAACTACAGATTTTAATGCCACTAAAAAGATTAAAAGAAATATTATAAATGACTTTATGTCAATAAATTTGATAATTTAGGTGAAATAACTTTCAAAAAGACAAAAACACAGCTTATTAAAAATAACAAAAAACAGAAATTATATGTTTTCCTATGTCTGTTAAAAATTGAATTTTTACTTAAAATCTTTCTCTTGAAGAAATCTCCAGGTTCAGATAGCTTTTCTGGTGAATTCTTCAGAAAATTTTAAGAAGAAATAACACATGTTACACAAACTGTTGCAGACAGTAGAAAAGTGAGAAGTGAGAATACTCTCACTTAATATCATGAGATTAGAAGAAACATCGTCATAAACATAATACTGGATATTTAAAGAAAGGAAAATTACATGACAATTTCACTCACAAACATAGTTGCAAAAATCAGGGAGAAGGGGAAGGGTATGCACTTTCATGGTGGGTGCAGTGTGCACCACTTGGAGGCTGGGCATGCTTGAAAAGCTCTGGCATAGCGGGGTGGGGAGTGGGGGTAGGGGAAGAATATGTAACCCTAACAATATTTGTACCCACAGAATATGAGATAATAAAAACAATTAAAAAAAATAAAAAGGAGAAGATATAATAAGTTTTTTCCAAGATTGTAAAATGGTTAAATCATTAGGAAATTAATGTAATTCATCACATTACCAGAATAAAAGAGAATAATTACATGAATATCTAAATAGATCAGAAAAATCACTCGATAATGTTTTAATAGTCATTGATGACAAAAACTCTTAGTAAACCAGAAATAAGTGAGAAGTTCCTTAACATGATGAAAAATATCTTTAAAAAATAAGAGTAAACTCATATTAATAGTGACATATTGCAAGCTTTTCTCCTGGGATTGACAACAAGAAAAGTATACCACTGTCACTGCATCTATTCAGTGTTGTTTGAAACATTCAAGTCAGTGCAATAAGGAAAGAAAAAAACAAATAAAACTATCATTATTTGTAGATGACATATTTGTATAATGTAGTAAATTCAAAAGAATCTATAGTTTAAAGAATTAGAATGAAATTAACAATATAGGCAATACAAGGTCAATACATTCAAATTAATGTTATTTCTGCATATCAGCAATAAACAATTAAAAATTGAAATTTTAAAAAATGATGCCATTTATAATGGTGACAAAAATCATAAAAAACCTACAAGTAAATAGAAAAATTTATAAAACTCTACACAGAAAATTTCAAAACATTGAGATAAATTAAAGAATCTAAATAAATTGAGGGATATGTTATAGCAATAGAGAGGGAGAGGCAATATTATGAAGAAGTCAAATCTTACCAAATTGATTCATGGATTTAATGTTATTACAATTAAAACCCCAGTGTTTTTTTTTTTCTTTTTTGAAATGGACAACCTGGTTTTAAAATTTTTATGGAAATGCAAAGGTCCCAGAAGAGCCAAGACAGTCTTGAAAAAGCAGAAAAAAGCAAATAGAAAACAAATGAACAAAAATCTACAGACACATACACGCGTACATACACACACACACACATACACACACACCCACTAGAACTGACTTCATCAAATATCAAATTTATTAAAACAGTGTGGCAGCATTTAAGAATGACAATGAGATCAAAGGAACAGAATAGAGAGTCCAAAAATAGACCCATATGTAGCAATCACTTGATTTCTCTATAGATAACACTGCAGTGCATTGGGAAAGGCTGGACTATTCAATAAAATATGCTGAGTATCTATGTGGGAAAACCATCTTGCCCTCTGCATAGCATATACAAAAATAATTCCACAAGCATTAAAAAACCGAATTTCAATAAGTCACAGATCTGAATAAAACCTGTAAAAGAAAAATATAATTGTCTTCATGAATTGGAATAAGGAGAGATTTTTTAAAACAAGAAACAAAGGTGATAGACATAAAGAAAAAGATTGACCAAACAGACTACATTAAACTTAAGGCCTTTTAAAGAAATCAAAAGATATCTTTAATCACTCTGGTACAAGCGTGGACTACAGTTGATAGCCACAGATGAACTGAGCGTCGACTTTAGCCAACAGCCGTGATATAACTCTTCTGATTTTTCATTTATCAAAATAAAATTGTGAACATTTAGAAATAACATAATGAAAACATATATGTATATGTTACCTATTCTGATTTACATTACAAGCAAAGCTGCCTGTAAAGTAAAACAAGCTTTCAGTGCTTTAAAGCTTTCCTCATCACACAAGAGCAAAAAGGATTCATCATCAATGCACAGCACAAACTATCCTGTGGACTATGAGTGCCAGCTGTGGGCAAGGTTTTGTGGCTGGTGAGCACTGTACCAAAGTGGTTAAGAGAGTGAAAAGTCAATCACCAACATGGGAGAATATGTTTTAATAGGTATAATGCAACAAAGAACTAGGATACTAGGATCCAGACTGTATAAAGAACTCTCATCAACCCATAAGAAAAGATAGATATACCAACAACAAAATGGGGAGGAGGAAGGAACAAACCAAAAATCAAAACTTGACTAGGCACTTCAGAAAAGAGAATATCC